GTTATTTAGACAGTTGCTAGGGATTTGAAGATTGATACTATAACCATGTAGTTCTGCAAGTTATCAGTTTCCAGATAAAGCCACATTCCAATATGGTTCTGTAGTTTTTTCTGTATTTTTTCTTTCTTTTTTGGTTTTTTTTTTACTACAATGCTCGTAAGCATATGGAATACTATAAAAAATTTGGTATACACAGACTGCATGTTTTGAATAATATGTCATAAAAATATTAATAACTAATAGAAATATTGAATAGTAATAATAATAATAAGCTATGCTACATCAATATGTAACGTTTTTTGATAATTTTGTAAACAATTTTGAATTTTGTCCTGATCCGTGACAATTCAGTTGACTTGAACAGTTTGAATAGACGTTGTTACAGTAACATTGGATTTCCAACCAGGTGTAAATCTTTGGCCTGTCAGCTTACTGTCATGTTTCACTCTAATATATACAATAGAAAAACATTTTATTTGGCTGTGCAAAGTTTTCTCAAGTCTTAAGTTACTATTTGTCATAAGTGGTTACTAACCAAGAAATCCTAGATCACTATCGGTTTATCCAGTGCACGAACTATGCATGGAGTATTTTGACTTCCACTGGAATTACCATACTCTCCCAAAATAATGTTGCGTGAGTATTCACGACCAAAGAGCAGGTCCTGTACTGGTAGTAATTTTTACACTGGTGGGAGTGGGTCTTCCAGTCGGCCTGCTACATCATCAAGTATTGGTTCTTTCAGAAGTGCTCCATCATCACTGGAGTCTGCACCGCCACATCGCAGACCGAGCTCACCGCCGGTAGATAATGAACTCACACATGTGGAGTAGTAAGTTAGCAAATTTTATACCGATCCAATCTAGAGAAAGTAATCACCTACTTGATCTGTATTCTGATGTTTGATGGTTGTAAAAAAATGTTTCCTGATTAATCTTTCTTGGAATATTAATTTTGTTTCACACACAATTTTTGTCGTATATACACACTCATGGTTCAAAATTGTAACCACATACTGTTAGCTGCAAATTATGTAGATTTAACGTTGGCTACTGTGGACAGTTTTGTCTCCATAAATCTCCACATTTACCAGGACAACAAATCACACAGGTATTGTGAAGTGAATCAGTGATAATTCATATTTTGTATACAACAAGTTGCCACAAATCAGTAAAAATAGTTATACTAATTTTAGGGGAAAATAATCATATTTTTAATTTTTTTTTCTCTCATTTTACAGGTTTTATTAAAACATTTTTTGGGAAATAGGAAAGTTAATTTAAATATAGTAATAGTACATAATAATAATAATAATAGGAAAGTAATTAAAAAAAAAGGTGTTGTACGAATAATTAGTCAGTCTCGATACCCCAATATATTATATAATGAAAACAAAATATACAACTATATATTAGTTTACATATTCAAAGTGTTAAAATGTTGAAAACACATTTTTGTAGGCAGACCCCATCTTTTCAAATACAGCTGGTTTTAAGCAGAATCATTGTGACTTTTTGAGTTGGTGTACAGAATAATACAACTGGAGGACTTTAACTTATTCCATTAATAGGGTCTTTCATGTTAAACTGTGTTCAAGCAAGGTGGTCTAGCTCTCATTGTAAAGGTCATATCTATTTAGTGTGGTAACACTTCACTATGTACAAACTGATTTATCATGGAGTTAATCTCCACTGAATCAGAACACCAGAACAGAATTAAATGCTATCGGGCATTTTCAACATACATTGAAAACTAATTCCTGTATCTTATTAAAATTAAATATTCAAATCCATGCCCTAAGGAGTTTTTTCCCCCTGCCCTGGTATCAATCATGGGTGGAGACGTTTATTGATTGCATGTTCCTTTTACAATAGCCTATACAAATGTTTACATTTTTTGTTGTTTTTCTGTTTGGTACTTGAATATGGAAAACTAAATATACCCTCAGCAGTAGTCAGCCATTGTTAATTGCTATGGCAATGATTTATATAAAACTACCATATATATTATATATATATATATATATTAGTAATATTTGTAATTTAATGAATAACTAATTACCAGTAATTATCCTTGATATGTTCTTTGCAATTTACTGATATTTATGTTTTACCAGTATAATTATTTTTTTAATTTGGAAATCCTGGTGAATGTGCTTAATGAAAGCACCAACATTTCTCTGCTACAAAATACAAACTGCGATTACTTTAATAGTAATTTCTGGTCTATATATTCATCATTTTATGGAGAAAGTTGCAGGTTTCAAGTTCATAGGGAGTTCAGTTATACTATACAAGTAAATTTAATATATCCAGATTGTAGTGAACAGACTGTACATTTTATTATCACGTTTGACACTGTCAATGACTAGCATTGTGTGTCGGTGTTATTAGGTACAGTTCCAATTTCAAAGTTAACCTATCGTATCCCGCACATTCTTACACCAGGGTGTTAATCCAATTCTATGGTTTGTGGCTGACAATTGCATAGACTTGACACATCCTATCTTCCCATATACCAGTTCATTTAGTGGTAATGACAATCCAACAAAGAGATGGAAAAGAGTTGGTTTTATTTTGACTGTTACCACGGCAACCAATGAAGGTCATGCTCAGGACATATAGCTGATGGTGATCTCCAGCCTACTAGTATTTCAACAGTGAGTGAATCAGAATCTCCTGAAAAGATTTTTTAATAAAATGTAAAACAAACTGAAACAATCATAAGCACCAAAATATTTCACAAAATAATATAATTATTTCCATACTTTTAACCTGTAACCAGTGTGAAATTATGTGTTCATTATGGTCCAAAATTATCAAAGAAACCATAAAAATGTGCAAAAAGTTGCAACCAAATTTTGAGGGAAAAATATGATGATGTTTAAATGGTTGAGAAGGATTTGTAGATTTAATCTAGGAGTCAATATATTTAACTAAATTAAACTAAATAGAGGACACAGTAGATAAAAAGAATATGATGCTATCCCATAATGCAATAATGTATTCCCAGAGATTTTAGAATCTTTGCCTTTTGAACAATTCTTCTATTTGACAACACCGCCTTTAGTTTGATGTGTAATGTAGTATACACTTCCATTGACTGCATATTTATAAACTAACATGACCGCTAATTGTTCAGATTCAGTCACTGTATAATTACAAAATTTACAATGACTTTAATCCAAAATGACAGTTACCATTGCTTTAAAAGGAGGTATTGCCAAATATGTGACCAACATATATCGAAGTGTCAAGTATTTGAAAATCTTCTTCGATCGTATATAATTAAAAATTATTGTTGACAAGTCACGTACAAGTGCAATGTAGCCTTTGTAGTGATAATATTTGATTTGAAATGTGATTTTCACTGGGTTTTCAACAAAAAAGGTTAACAGTGATGAAAGAGAATTGCAGTGACTTTAGTTTGTTGCCCGGTTGGATCTCCCATGGCAACCATGTATATGGCATAACTGAATGTTCAACAACATTCCTGCATCGTCTCTCCCTAGTGAAAAAAATCTTTTGAAGATTGTAACAATTAACACTCTATTTAGTTCTGAAAGTTTGTTTTTTTTAAATAAAAGAAAAAATTGGCAAGAATTGTAAACAAACCATTTGTGTTTCTGTGTTTCTGTGTCGTAAATGCTGTAACAATTGAGTGAGGTCATGTCACCTTCAGTTGTCCTGCTGCTATGTATTTTAACTATAACAGCACTCTGCTACTTACATGTTCTAAAGCCTTGTGGTAATTGGAACTTCCTTTGTTCAAGCACTTGAAAACATCGCAAACATGCTACAATTCAAACCAACATCTTTTGAATGACAATGTCTGTTAACAATGCTCAATAAATATTTTGCCATGATTTGTTCAGATCCTGAATATTGTTATACTGCCAAGGCTCGATTTCAAATTAAATAGCAGTGTCAAATTTTGTTACTTTTCAAGTCTTAAGACTCTGCATATCCACACTGACACCTCATTATTAACCAGACTTATGTGTAAAAAAACTCACGTTGAACATTTAGGGATTACTTGATTCTGTTTTTTTTTTTTTGGGGGGGGGGTATCCTAGATTGACTGGCATATAGCAAATATGGCAGTGATCCATACTACCTTTACAGTAACTTGTTTTCTTCTTAAAGAATATTTATGTACAATACTTTCTAGCAATTGGCTTGTGTGTATAATTCTGTCTTTAGGTGTGTATACCAAACAAAATTCTGCTTTTTACAAGTTTTAGGTGAATATTGCTTCAAACTATCATATTTGCTCTGACAGAAGTGTATCTCCAATAGAAGTGTATGTAAACCACAAATTGCACATACATGTATGTATGTAGTGTTGACCATAGACTTATCTCTGTCTTTTAAGGAAGTGCATATGCGCTATTATTTACAGACTCACTAATCTGCACAAGAATATCTCTGGATGTTCATGCTGATTGCTGATTTTGTGATCATATCGCAATTAAAATCGACTCCTTCAATTTGTGTGAGATCTTCATCGCACACCTGGCAGCCTCATTTGATAAATCCTTGATTATGTATATATCGAGGTTCTTATAAAAGTATTATGCAGGAACCAAGGACTGGGAAATAAAGTAACACACATCATTTGTATTATCAAAATTCAATTATAGTAAAAAAGTCTAAAATGTTAATCTCAAAATTGAGATTATCAGCAACATATTATATTAGCAGCTGTGAACAGATTAGTTCAACATTTGTTGAAGATTAATGTTAGGATATTTAATATCAAAAGGCATGGTCCTAAGAGACAATTTACAGGAAATAAAGGGCAGTCTGAAATCTACCAGTGTGTGTGGTTTCTCATGACCTCAAATAACCCCTAAATTAAATTGCATCCTGAATAGGATACTCTTGAATGTTTTCTAGCTTGTGTGAGAGAAGAGCGCGAGACTGTGCTTTAGAGCTTAAACAATTGTGTAGAAGTCTTTGTTATTAATTCCTGTGCAATCTCTTCATCTTATTTTCCAGTTTCCAAGACCAGAACATCCGATTTGAAGAACACATTAATCTTCATCATCTTGAGACATTAATGCAAAAGTTTGCTGAACACAGACCAAAAAATGACATGTCAGGACAAGTGGGCAGACATGATCACAGAATTGCTGGTAAGGCTGAGAAACGAGAACCTGGCAACATGACGCTAGAAGAATTTAAAGAGACCATTGCTAGTATGCTTGGTACTGATGCCTGGGATGATCAGATGGAATCTCTCTTTGCTAAGGTAACCAACATGAATTAATCACTTTCATTTCCATGGTAAACTTTCATCACAAATATAATCCTGGTAAAATTTTGTGTGTTTCAACAAAATCTGTTTATCAGAATCAGTTAGCAATATCATAATCTCACTTTCTGGTTAAAATTAAACTTGAATTCTCAACATTAAAAAAAATGTAAATTGCAGAAAAATTGCAAACATTTGCATAAAAAATGTGGCGGGAATTTGTATGTAGGGAAAAGTCAGTAAATAACAGTGCAAGGGTTGTTGCAAAATTTATTGCCATTTATGAAAATAATATTGAAATTAAGACTCTTTGTATTCCAAATCCTGGAATTTCTCTTGGATTTATTTTTTGTGCTGGAGATATAGGTTAGCGTAATAATATCCAGCTAAATTACATTTCATCAGTTACTTGTCACACCAGCTATTATATACTCTTAGTAGTTGTACATATAATTATAAAATAAAGCTGAATTGATTGCACCAGTATAGTCATGGCTATTCTGCTTGCCAGGTTTTCCAAAAATCTTTTTATGTAAAGTTGCAAGTCTCATCATGTGACGTTTAATTCCCCCTAGTTATTTGTTTATAAAATGTTTGCGTATATTGCATGTAACATCATTTATATCCCCTTATTGACAGTGATTTAAAATGTTTCATTTATATCCCCTTATTGACAGTGATTTAAATGTAAAATATATACATTATTTTCAATAGCGTTTAAGGTAGAGATGCAGGTTCGTGGGCACTTTTCGTGAATTTTTTGTTGTTGGCCTTTTCTTACCTAGACAGTCTTGGCTAGATAGTGTTAAAATTTCGGAGCATTGTCATTGTTAGAACATACACAAAAATCAATTTTAAA